AGGGTACCAATGTTAATTTCTTGGTTTTGACAATTACACTGTAGTTTTATAATATGTTGCCATTAGTGGAAGCTGCGTGAAGCACATAACCAAACTGTACTATTTTTGCAACTTTTCCGTAAGACTAAAATTATTTCAAAATAAATAAAAAGCAAGTTCCAACAATTCTGCCCATAGGTATATATACCACAAAGAATTGAAAGCAAGGATTCAGACAGATACCTGTATGCCGGTGTTCACAGCAGCATTATTTGTAACAGACAAGAAATGGAAACAACCCAAGTGTCCATAAACAGATGAATGGATACATAAAATGTGGTCCATTCATACAATGAAGTACTATTCAGCCTTAAAGAAGAACAAGATTCTGACACATGCTACAACATGAATGAACCTTGAAGACCCACTTAGTGACATAAGCCAGTCAGAAAAGGACAAATGCTGCAAGATTCCACCTATATTAGGTACCTAGGAGAGGTAAGAGACAGAAAGTAGGATAGTGGTTACTATTTTGTTCAGGGCTGGGGGAATGGAGAATGGGGCATTATTAGTAATGTACAGAGTTTCTGTTTGGAACAATAAATGTTAAAAGATAGTAGTGAGTGGTGATGATTACATGATATTGCAAATGTGCTGAATTCCAGTGAACTGCCCACTCAAAAAAGGTTAAAATCATAATTTTTCATTGTGTATAATTTATCGCAAAAAGTGGAAAAAAACACTGAAAATTACAAATAATTATCCAATTTAGGCAGACATAGAACTTCACAGGTTTCCTACACTCAAATGAAAACAGAGGAATGACTTGATAACCTACACTTTTTTCCCAGAGCCACAAAGTTTCAAAATCAGTCATAGGCTAAAGCATAGATGCCTAAATTGAGATGTTCTCACTGCTGGAGATTATCTTTTCGGCATTCAACCCATTTACATTTAAGGTAATTATTGATAGGTATGGTCCCGTTGCCATTTATTTTGTTGTTTGGGGTTCACGTTTATACCACCTTTCTGTGTTTCCTGTCTAGAGAAGATCCTTTAGTATTTGTTGAAGAGCTGGTTTGGTGGTGCTGAATTCTCTCAGCTTTTGCTTGTCTGTAAAGCTTTTGAGTTCTCCTTCATATCTGAATGAGATCCCTGCTGGGTAGAGTAATCTAGGTTGTAGGTTATTCTCTTTCATTACTCTAAGTATGTCCTGCCATTCCCTTCTGGCCTGAAGGTTTCTATTGATAGATCAGCTGTTATCCTTATGGGAATCCCTTTGTGTGTTATTTGTTGTTTCTCCCTTGCTGCTTTTAATATTTGTTCTTTGTGTTTGATCTTTGTTAATTTGATTAATATGTGTCTTGGGGTGTTTTGCCTTGGGTTTATCCTGTTTGGGACTCTCTGGGTTTCTTGGACTTGGGTGGCTACTTCCTTCCCCATTTTAGGGAAGTTTTCAGCTATTATCTCCTTGAGTAACTTCTCATGGCCTTTCTTTTTGTCTTCTTCTTCTGGGACTCCTATGATTCGAATGTTGGGGCGTTTCACATCGTCCCAGAGATCCCTGAGGTTGTCCTCATTTCTTTTGATTCTTTTTTCTTTTTTCCTCTCTGCTTCATTTATTTCCACCATTTTATCTTCTAACTCACTTATCCTATCTTCTGTCTCTGTTATTCTACTCATGGTTCCCTCCAGAGTATTTTTGATCTCATTTATTTCAATATTAATTTTTAATTGACTTTTTAAAATTTCTTCTAGGTCCTTGTTAAACCTTTCTTGCATCTTCTCAATCTTTGTCTCCAGGCTATTTATTTGTGACTCCATTCTGTTTTCAAGATTTTGGATCATTTTTATTATCATTATTCTAAGTTCTTTTTCAGGTAGATTCCCTATTTCCTCCTCTTTTGTTTGACTTGGTGGGCTTTTTTCATGTTCCTTTACCTGTTGGGTGTTTCTCTGCCTTTTCATCTTGTTTAGATTGCTGTGTCTGGAGTGGGCTTTCTGTATTCTTGTGGTCTGAGGTTCCTTTTTATTGTGGAGGTTTCACCCAGCAGGTGGGGTTGGACGACTGGTTTGTCAAGGTTTCCACAACTGCAGTCAGGAACGCTGGTCCTGTAGGTTTTCTTTCAGAAGTGACTTCCCATCTCCTGCAGCTTCTGTCTCCTTGAGGCCAAGCTCCTGTCTTCAGTTTCCTCCAGAGAGGTGAGGGAGAAAGCAGGGCAGGCTCCTTCCCCGAGTCTGGCCGTTTGCTTACTGAAATCCCCAGCCTAGACTTCAGCTCCCAGTGCTTGGCCTGAAGTACACGTTCACGTATGAATTCTTGTCCCCAGCACACAATTGGTTTGATGATCAAACCTCCTTTCGAAGACAATGGTTGCTTTTCTGGGCACCTGATGACTGTTTTACCTGATGTCTGAATCCCCGAGCGGGAAGAGAGAAGGCTTCCAAGACAATGCAACTCGCAAAAAAAGGGAAGTTTATTACTGACTCGAATCAGGGCTCCTGCTGCGTGTCCAACACAGTGGTACGGGGTCAGAGAGCCGAGATTATCTTTTCGAAGAATAAGACTGAAGGTTCCTGATCTGTGCCCTGGCACCTCCCACAGCATGTGAAGTCCAAACACTGCTGAGCATTAAATATTCCTGAGGAATGACCTCCCCCTCGCCCCTCCAAAATGAAGAATTCAAATTCATAATATTAGCAGAAGGAAAAAGAAGGCAAACACGCACGTGCACGCATGCACACACACACACTCTCACTGACACAGCCCATTAACCTTTGTCAGAGGTTATCTGGTCACAGGTCCATCTTTTTTCAGGATAATCTGTGGTCCTGCTGATCTTTCCCCAACTCCTTTGGCCCTTTCACCAATGATGGGGAGGGTCAAAGAAAAGAACTCTCAAAATAATCAACTCTTAACTGGTCAGCTCTCTGACTGGTAAAGAGTAATCATGGAAAACGTGCTTTATTCACTGGGGGAGTTTCAGGAGAATTGTCCTATAAAGGTTTGAAAGTAGCAGAGTTGAAAGCAGTATGCTTTAAAAACATGTCTGGGGGTCAGGGTGAGGAGGGTTGCACAGCAGAATCATCCTTTTGTCCTGAATGATAGGGGCACTGGGACAACTCAACACTTAGAGGCTTCCTCCTTGCAAGCAGCCCGCAGAGCCACTTACTAACTAAATAAATACGAAATAATAAGAAATTGATCTTACTGTTCCTTGCACATGCTTGTTTTCTAACCAGATATAGAAATACCCAGCTCGGTCACTCACATGCACTTTTGTTTATTGTCCCAAATAGAATCCAACTGCCTTCAACAGTGATTCATTGCCCGTTGTGGGTTTTCAAGAGAACCCCTGAAGGCAATTCAGATAAGGCTTCTGCAAACAGTTCAAACAACAGCAGAACTGCTTCTCAGGGTGGTGCTGGCTGACAGTCAGCTAAAATACCAGGCACACTAGGTAGTCACTTCTGATACATCACTTCTGTTAAGGATGATGATTCTTTAAGGAAGGACCCCACTGTCCACTTTTTATTCCCCAAAGCTCATCACAGAGAGTAGGTTCTTTAATAATACCCATTAATGATCCAAAAGGATACATGCACCCCAGTGTTCATTGTAGCAATGTTAACAATAGCCAAGACATGGAAGCAATCTAAATGCCCATTGACAGAGGAATGGATAAAGATGTGGTACACATATACAATGGAAGATGACTCAGCCATTAAAAAAGAATGAAATAATGCCATGTGCAACAACATGGATGGACCTAGAAAGTGTCACACTGAGTGAGGTAAGTCAGACAGAGAAGGAGAAATATTCTATGACATCCCTCATATGCGCAATCTAAGAAAAAATGTTACAAATGAATCACAAAACAGAAAGAGAATCACAGGCTTATAGAACGAACTTATGGCTTCTGGGTGAAAGGAGGGAGGGAAGAGATAGTTACGGAGTTTGGATAACCAACAAGGACCTACTGTATAGCACATGGAACTCTGTTCAATGTTATGTGGCAGCCTGGATGGGACAGGAGTTCGGGGGAGAATGGATACACGAGTCCCTTTGCTGTTTACCTGAAACTACCACATTATTAATTGGCTATAGACCACAATACAAAATAAAAAGTAAAAAAAAAAAACCTGTTAACCAGTTGATTTTCTTTTTATTCCATAAACTAATCATTCAGAAAAATAGAGTGCAGCCAATTAGAAGGCTGGAGATATCCGTTCAAATTAAGATGGAGATTGGGTAGGGTGAAAAGACCCCATATGTTGTAGATGGACGGAAATTAGACTGGATCTTGCCTCTGAAACTACCTAGTGAGGGGATGTAATCAAGCCCTCCATGTCTGAGTCCCTATACACTCTCCTCCTTCCACCCAAATGTATTAAGTTCTGTACATACAAATGAGTTCTATTCTGAGAGCACATTCGAAAATCTAGTTTGTTTGTAAGTTCAACAAAGGTAACCGAGGTCCCTAGCTAACACAATCAGCTATACAGTAGTACTGTGATAGGTTTATAATACTTTTCACACAAATAGTATTAAAAACAAATATAAAAAGTAAAGCAAACAATTTTAATCTTATAGTACAGTGTCTTAGAAAGTACAAGAGCTGGCATAGAGGGGCTGACATCAAGTGAACAGGCAAGTACCAGTTACATCACTGCTGCTTTTATGCTTGCTTCCGGACATCTTGGGCTTGAAATAAAGATACTATCCTACTGTACTCTATAGAGTACTGCAAAGTACACAAAAGCACAACCGCTTGGAGAGGATGCAAGCACACGGCAATGCATCCCAGGCACGTGAACTCAAGTGATTGATTCGTGAACATACGTTCGCATCTTTGAAAGTTCAAAACTTGAAGGTGCGTATGTGGGGGAGTTACTGTACGTGGAATGAGGTTGGCAATACCTACCGTCCAAGGCTCTGAGGTTCAAATGGGCTCCTAGCACTCAATAAAGAGGTACCATTCATACGAGTGAAAGCAGAATTGAGTTTTATAGATGCTTACCTCTCTCAGAGTTGGCTTGCCAATGAAAAAGTCTGTGTTTTTGCTGCTTTTGGGTGGGTTGAACTTGGGATTCAGAAAAGCACATCCATTTGCGATGGCCTCCAGGGGAGCTGGGCCCTCGTACGGGAACCCAAGCCCAACAAACAGCTGTAAGACAGAGAAGCATACCACACGTCAACACATCGAGCGGGACTGGCGTCCCGGGCTCACAGGGGTCTCCTCTGGGCTCCACACCTGTGCGGACGCTGCTGAGACTGGGAAGTTCCAAGGCCCTAGGGAGCTGGGGTGATGAGAAGCCGGCTTACAAGAGGACCTGAGAAACAGGACCAGGGACCTTCAAAGGCCCAGTAAGGTGCTCAGGTCATGAGGAATTTCACTCCTTTGTTAAAAAAAAAAAAAAAGGAAAGGAGTAAGAGTTGGGATGGGTAGTTGAGGGGGTAGGGAGGCGGGGGTATTCAAAGAAAAACAACAACAAAACTCAAGACTCAACAATAATCTTTCTGTAATGCAACAGGAGACACGACTGGAAAAACACTTGCTTAACTAAACAGAAGGTTTCTTCATTGAACCTAAGGAACAACAGGCCCTTTCAGGGATGCCGGGCACAGGGACAGAAAGGTCGCTCGGCAGTGTGATTTCAGTTCACGTGGAGCTGCTTGGAAACGATGGTAGGTCAGCAAACACGGGTTTTCATAATGGGGTTTTCACTGGGGGACATCAACATCTTGGTTTTTATTTTCTTCTCAATGTGGGGAGAGGGTGTGGAGCTGTGACTGGGCCAGGCTTTCCCTCTCCAGCAAGTAAACCCTGAGCTGTCCCCACAGCAGACGACAGATGGCAGCAAAAACACATCTCAGAGTCCTTGTAGAGACCGCAGCGGCCCAGAGCCCCGGTGACAAAAGGAACTTGCTGCAGTTCAGTGGCACTGATTCCTGGGACCAGAAATGAAGCATCATCGCATAGAAAGGCCTCCCTGTGTACCCGCCTCCCAGGGTGTTTCACACCGCTGGGGGTTGTGCGTCCTGACGGGCAGGGTCTGAGTCTGGGCTTGGTGACATGTGAGATCTCCCTAGCCACATGAAGGAGCTGCTCCTGAAACCTCTCCAGTTTCTGAGGCACATCCAGTGGCAAATGATAACTGGGCCCCAGAGCGTCCTTTCCTTCTGCCATCACATTGGGGAACAACCACAGGGCCAGGCCCCAAAAGTGAAGGAAGCTGTTGGCTTGGACATGGCTGGATGCTTGATTCTCTTTTCCTGAGTCCTCTCCTCAGCCATCCTATCTCTGCAGCTTTAACTGAATGATGATTTGGAATGGTTCTGTCTAGAGAGCCCTGAGTACAAGCTGCTGGGTTCCCCAGGCAACACTGGAAGATGAAGCATGTATGTGCTGGGCACCCAATTCCAGGGCTTAACCCAGTATGGCCCACGTTGGCCATACTGAAGAGGCAGAAAGGCCCTGCAGGGAATTTTCTGGGACAAGAAACTAAAATCTCAGGTTTTTCCTATAACTGTATGTTCTTTTGCACAGAACAGCATACTGAAGTGCTTTGTTGTTTTGGAAGAATAACCTTTCATAACTTGCAGACCTTGAGATGATTCTCAGAGACATCTGCAGGGGAAGGAACTGTGGAGGAAAAGCTTTGAGCAGCCAGCTGAGCTCCCTCTGCTGGTGGGGGTCGTTTCTCCTGGAGCAGAAGAGCAGAGACACAGAGGGGAGGGAGACACGGCAGCCGGATCCTGGAAGCTGTCTGGTATGAGGGGCATCTCCCCCACCATTTGGAGGCCCCGATTTTGCATCTTATTATGTAGCTAACTTTATTTTCTTGGGCTCCCAAATCACTGTGGATGGTGACTGCAGCCCCGAAATTAAAAGACGCTTGCTCCTTGGAAGAAAAGCTATAACAAACTTAGACAGCATATTAAAAAGCACAGAGATCACTTTGCCGACAAAGGTCCATCTAGTCAAAGCTATGGTTTTTCTAGGAGTCATGTATGGATGTGAGAGTTGGACCAAAAAGACAGCTGAGCACCGAAGAACTGATGCTTTTGAACTGTGATGCTGGAGAAGACTCTTGAGACAAACCAGTCAATCTTAAAGGAAATCAACCCTGAATATTCATTAGAAGGACTGATGCTGAAGCTGAATCTCCAATACTTTAGCCACCTGATGCGAAGAGCCAACTCAATGGAAAAAACTCTGATGTTGGGAAAGACTGAGGGAAGGAGGAGAAGGGGACGACAGAGGATGAAATGGTTGGATAGCATCACTGACTCAATGGCTATGTGTTTGAGCAAACTCTGGGAGATAGTGAAGAGATAGGGAACCTGGCATGCTGCAGTCCATGGGGTCACAAACAGTCAGACATGACTGAGCGACTGAACAAACAACATGTAGCTAACAGGAGTTAGATTGTCAGAAAGAGCTTATGTGTACAGGGTATGGCCTGTGCATGCAGCTCAGGGCTGGGGGATAACTGACAACAGTAGAAGGAATGAAGGAACTGGTGGGAAGATCTAGTTCCAAGACATCCCAGCTTCATTAAACATGAAGAATCCAGGGGATACTATCCTTGAGGCGTTTGATCTCTGTGATCTGTCACCCCTGGCGGATTTAGGGGAGGAGGTGCCGGCTCTCCAGGGAAAAAAGGACCTCTATCAGGCTGTGGCTGGACTCAGGAAAGCACAGGGCTTCCAGATCCTGAAAGATGCAGACAGGGGTCTCCACTGGTTTAACCAGAGACCATAGTATTTCCTAATCTCTGAAAATCAGGGCCTGCCATGAAGCGCTGACACTGTCATCAACACTAAACTGCAAAGAATAACTTTGGAGGAAATGTAGGAACCACAATGCTTGTCTATTTAAATAGAAAATCCTGGAAAAAGAAATTTAATTAGCTCCTTCAGACCTACCAATCTGAACCCATTAATTAAAAGGATTTGAGGCTGTTGCTTAATGGACTCGAATGTGACCTAGGTTTAATTATATCTGAATAACAATTTGCACCATCTCTTCTGCCCTTCTGGCAACTGAGTATCTCAGTACACATAAAATAAACACTTTGGGCTAACTCTCCAAAGCCTCACCAGTTCATAATGAATTTTAAGGAAATACCACACAACTTCTTGGCAATGAGTCTTCGTCACACTAATTAGGATTGCAGGAAATGCACTACTTGCAAACACTAAAACAACAGTTCTTTGTCCCTTCTGTCAACAAACAACTTTTCTTCTTGCTTCCTGTGTACTCATTACCTGTGACATTCTAATGTAGCAGATGTATTAAGGTCAAATAGCATACTTGAGGTTTGAATGACAATAGGATAGGCAGAGAGAGTCTGTCACCACCAAGGGCATTCTGAGAACTTGTGAGGGCTTATGATCTTGCCACACACTGGCACTTAACCACACTAAATTGCTTTTCCCCCAACTCCCCACTCCCCATCTTTCTGCCCAGTTAGATTTCCTTAGCACAGGAACAAGAGAGACACTGCAAGAATGCATTCAAGTGCAAAGGCTCAACTCAGGAGGAAGCAGCATGTTTTATTGATACTTCATCTTGTCTTCAGAAGCCTAGATTGTAATGAGGATATTCCAGATGACAGAACATCTCCATGGCTGCAGCTTGACTCCATCAATGAGCATTTCTAAATAGAGCTCTAAATTACAGGCTCTAAAGTTTAACTTTTGAACTAATACTAAGGAAGAGAGAAGAGATGAGGCTCCAGGACTGGGATGTCCCTAGGTATCGACAGAGTTCAGTTAAACCACTCAGATTTTCACTCTGTGTGAAAGGAGGAACGAAATTGTTTTAAACCCCTAAGTGGAGTAGTTGACAAAGAATCCCTTAAGTGTAGATAAAGGTAGTTCTTAGACATCAGTGCATGTATGTGGAATCTAGAAGAAATGATACAGATGAACTAATTTGCAAAATAGAAAGGGGTGGGAGGTGGGAAGAACTGGGATATTGGGATTCACATATATACGCTACTAATACTATGTATAAAATAGATAATTTATGAGAACTTACTCTACAGTACAGGGAACTCTACTTGCTCTGTGGTGACCTAAACAGGAAGGAAATTCAAAAAAGAGGAATATATGTATATGCATGGCTGATTTACTATGATGTATAGCAGAAGCTAATACAACATCATGATGCAACTACACTCCAATTAAAAAATTTTATTTTTCAAAAGGTAGTTGTTAGGCAGATTCCATGGCTGTGGTCAGTTTCCAGGCTCTCTCTCTCTCTCTCAAGTGGAATATCCAGGATAACCCAAACCAGGAGATTGCATGCCCAACAGACACTTTTCTGACTTGTTTTCATTAGCCAAGTTGATGGAGTCAATCAAGATGGAGTCTGAGCAACCAGTCAACCTCAGTTTATCCAATAGATAGATTATCGACACAAAGTGATCAGGACAACAAAGCGATTAAGAACACAAGCTCTGGAGTCAGGCTGACCAGGTTTCTAAGCCTGACTGTATCATCTCCTAGCTCTCTAACTGTGAGAAATTGTTATATGCCTCTCTCCATGGATTATCTGAGGTCCAATGATAATGCATTTTCTCTAGTTACAGGTCTCAGTCAAGGTAACACAAGCTCTCTGGACCTGTCTCTTCATGTATAAAATGGTTGAAAGTAATAGTGCTTTATTTCATGGTGCTGCTGTGAGGATTCAAGGAGATATTTCACAGAAAGGATGTATTCCAAGGTTTGGCTCTTGGACTAGTGTTTAGTGAACACTGACTAAGTCCAAACCCAAGTTCCACTTGGTACCCCTATGGGCCACATGCTGTGGCTAAGTCTTACTTGTTTACCTTTCAAATAATGGTTGGGAATCATTATTTGGTAATAGGTATCCCTTTTATATGTTTAAATAGAATCTACACAAGGCTGGGTATGGAGAAATTTTATTTTCCTGATAAGTGATGCTTTCATGTAACCCAAAGGGTCTCTCTCTGGACATCTGTCTTTCGTTCAGTACTGAAAGAAGAGACAACAGTGGCCAAAATCTCTCGCCTATATTTTTAGCAACTCCCTCTCCTGATCTCCAGGATTCCCTGGTGGCTCTGATGGTAAAGAGTCTGCCTGCAATGCAGGAGGCCAGAATTCTATCCCTGGGTCTGGAAGGTCCCCTGGAGA